GGAGATAGAGATTGTTGTAGATAGAAACATATTATAGACACAAACTTACTGTAGACAGCAACTCGCCTGTGCAAATGGTAATTGCCGAATCTAGGAAACATCTAAATTAACGGGAAAATTGTTTCTATGTTGTTTTGTTTTATAATATATTAATAATTTATTAATATATTAATTTATTAATATATTAATGTAATGCATGCTGTGATTACCTCTAATAAGAGTTGCAGTTATCAATTGCTCTATACATGTCAATGTTATTTTATGTCTTACTGTAAACCCTGTCGGTAATCCTTAAATAAATAAATAAGTTTACTTGAAACTTAAAAAAAAAACGACTTTTCTATGATACAATTGAAAATGCAGGCTCGTGTCTTGATGTGTGAGATCCACGGTATCCAAAACCCGTAATTACCAGAATCTCACCAATAAGATGGAGTGTGGTCAGCTGAAAAATATATTGTGGTTTCAGCATTTTTTAATATTGTATTATGTAGCTGTGAAATTAAAGTGTTTATGCATGGCCACAGCTTGCGGCCTTTCACCTGTCTATTGGCAATGTCAATAAGATAGATGATTGTTGCACAGAAGCCCACTTGTTTACTGTCGTGAGTAACAATTACATGTTTACTTTACAAAAAAAAAAAAAAAAACGTTCAAATAATTATAACAAAACACATTTATTTTTCAAGCATAAATTACAAAAATTGAAAAGAACAAAAAAATAAAAGAAAAACCGTCGAAGCTTAGAAAAGTTTGCTGGCTCAGCAATACAGTGAAAACTTAATCTATACTGCTTCGGTGATCTTCCACTGGCACCTGCAGAGTGAAGTGCATATCAAAATCAGACCGATCAATCCTCCTTTTCGATATAAGAATAGTTTTTTTTTCAAACGTAAAATAAAATAAATGAAGTTAAACAAAAAGTTAAAAAAAGTTAAATGAAATACATAAATAAAAAGTGAAATGAGTAAATGAAGTTAAACATGAATTTAAAAAAAAGTTAAACAACAATTTAAAAACAAACAAAAAAACATTTATATTGAAAAAAGAAAACAACTCTTCTTCCTGGTCGTACGTCGTAGTAAGAAATAGATTATATATGTATACCAATCTTTTTTTTTTTTATTGCTTAGATGGGTGAACGAGCTCACAGCCCACCTGGTGTTAAGTGGTTACTGGAGCCCATAGACATCCACAACGTAAATGCGCCACCCACCTTGAGATATAAGTTCTAAGATCTCAAGTATAGTTACAACGGCTGCCCCAGCCTTCAAACCGAAACGCATTACTGCTTCACGGCAGAAATAGGCAGGGTGATGGTACCTACTCACAAGAGGTTCTACCACCAGTAAAGATAATACCACCAATCTAATAAAATCGTGACAAAAAAGCTATTTCTATAGCTAAATAAAAATAAAGCTTTTTAATGTTAATTTTGTAGCGGTTGGGCTTTAATGAGCCAACTCGAGTAAGTACCGTAGTCTTGCATATTTCTGCCATGAAGTAATAATTCATAGTAGTCTTCTAGCTTATGTGTCAATTTATAAGAGTGTAATTTCCCCTACTACCAGAGGGGCTGTAAGAGCGTACGTCCGTCAACAGGAAACATAAAAATAAAAACAAAGAGGACGATCATACCAATTCCCTTTAATTCCTTTTAATGTCCGTGACATTTTCTTTCTGATACAAGCCTCAGGTCTTAGATTTATGAATGACCACGATAGTCTCACGTTAATATAATTAAAGATAACCCTTATAACAAAATCTATAGTAAAATTCGGAAATGTGTAAGTTGGTATGTTTGAATATTTTTTTTGTTTGATGTTTAAACGAAATTTCGCGTAAATAAATGCAAGCATGATCTGCATTGATTAATAGATTTTGTATCATTATGAGTTCGTAGCTCAGAGACAACTAATTTTCTGAAGAAAAATGCTAGTTTATTCGCTGGTTTACGTCTTAACATTCCAATGAATATAAAAAAAATTTTTGGTTTCTGAACTAGAGAATAACACAAGCAAGTCTTTATGTCGAAAAAATTGACATACTTCTTTCTGAATTACAAAAATAAACGCGAACGGAACCGCGGGCCGGGACTACTATAATTAAATTTTTAAAATTAAATGCTGTTTTAGTACGTGTTCAGTAAAGTGCACTAAATTGGTGTATTTCTCACGTATAGTATTTAATTAGGGACACCTGCGCTGGCGCGGTCTAGCGGAACGATTGACGCCTGACGTTCATTGTTTTAAATCTAACGAACTTAATTAATCCGCAGGTCAGAGGTCTAAAACTGACCTTTTTGTTAAGTCATAAATTCTCTTTTCATTAGATACTGCTGAAATCTGACCCCAGTTCGTTTCCCGCTAAGCACTTTATACACTCATTTTTTTAAGCGAGTTTCCCGTCAACATTGTGTATTTCAGCAATCGTACGAAGTTTCAAAACAAGGGAAAAATTATGTTTTGTGAATATATTTTTTTACTACATTCGCTGTGTCAACAAATCCGCTGAGTATACCCGGATCTTTTCAGTGGGTCGCGATTCCGATCCGGAGGTAAATTTAGCATCGTACGAGCTAGGGTAGATGCCAACTTAAGCAGCCATGTTATGCCAGAATAAGGCGCCGATGCGTAGTATTTTTGTGCACTGTTTTCGATTCAAACGATAATTTACTGCTTTGCAAAAACTATTTGCGCTACAACCGAATTTTGTATCAACTTATGCTACCACTGACATGTCAAGAACACTCTAATGCTCATTAAACGTAGTGACTTAACAAAAACACTGTCAAACCAAAATATCATTGAAACTAAAAGTAAAACACTTACTTTTGAATGGTTAACGAATTTTTGCTACAAACAAATGTGACATTTGGCGGAGTAACTCCACTGGAGTGGCTTAGTAATCAAAACAGATTTGTAACTGCAATTTTCAATCAATCAATTTCACCAGATTCGATTTTCTGTTGAATTGGTAATCTAATAAAAATCATTCATGAACTACTGATGTTTTCCTAGATTTAAAATTTGACACCAATTTTCGATATACATACGTCCCCAATGAACATTTCAGTCTTGTTAGTTTTCCGGAGAAACAGTAGAACCATGGCATTGACCATGATGATTCTACTCTTGACCTATAGCCAAGTTCTAGGAAAAAAAAAGAGGAACGTCTTGATAGTTAAAGAAACGATGATTTTGATCATCGATTAATATTTATATTGACGATCAGATTGGCTCAAACCCGCCTTCTGTGAATCCGTTCCCGCAGTTATAAGATAGCGTATTAAGGAGACTACCACTCCATAATTGTTACTATACTTGAGACCTTAGAACTTATATTTCAAGGTGGGTGGCGCATTTACTTTGTAGATGTCTATGGGCTCCAGTGACCACTTAACACCAGGTGGGCTGTGAGCTCGTCCTGGGTGGACGAGCTCTAAGCAATAAAAAAAAAAGTCAAAATCTTAGTTTCATTCTAATACCAATTGGAACTGTTTCAAAATTATCATCAAAACTGGAATGCACTGGTGAAGATATGTATGCGTACAAAATACGTAAGACGATTGTAAATATTGTACATCATCATCTTAATCCAAATAACATACGTTCAAAACGTAAATTCTATTTTCCCCTATAAAATCGTCTTTTTTCTATGAACTACCCCATGAATGAGGGTTTAATTTAGTTTTATATGCTCACGAACGATTTGTACAAATTAGATTATCTGACCGGCAACAGATGTTGAATGTAACAGTTGTGTTTGTATCGTAAATAAATGCCAAGGTTTTTTTTTTTTGGAGTGCTTGAAGTGTGGACACCTGTTGATAAGAAGTTCTGTAGGATTTATGTATATTATAATCTATATATTAATACGTGAAGCAAAAACTTTGTATCCCTTTTTACGAAAATTGCGCGGACGTAGGAGTATGAAATTTTCCACACTTATAGAGATCATAGAGAAGAAGTGCACAATGCTAATATTTTTTTTAAATAATGTATTAAAGATACATTAAATCAATAAATAAAACATTACACACACTACATATCATGTATTTGACGCACACACGCATGCATACTATTTATTGTCAAACTTTTGTTCTTGACGTCTGTTGTCAAACTGAGATTAAATATTGTTTGTCTTTGTTAATATTTTTTATAGTGTAGTCTTGACGAAAATTTGTGATTATAGAAGTATAAAATACAATCATAATGGTGTACAAACTTACAATACCAATTAATTATAGTCGAATTTCGACTATTGCGGGACCTCTAGTACTAGATTAATCTGTCCAGTAGCAACTAGATGTGGATGTGGAAATATAAGCTGTTGAAATAAATGGATGATATTTTCAGAGCCGTAAGGAGTAATTAGATGTATATAGCTTCAGAGGATAGACATGCAAATGCATTCCTAAGTCGTTTTCAACTAAAGAATAAGATGCTTGGAGTACATCGTAGCAAACAATGCGTCAATGTTTGAATTCTGCTTGCAGGTAACAATTTTGCTAATGAAATATTTATTTGACGTGTTCACAAAGGACTCACACGTAGGTTTGGGGTCGATTTAGGGAAGGAATGTTATACGATCCCAGCCTCCTGGAACTCATATGATCATTTTGTTTCTATTTAATCCTAAAATTACATTCTTATTTGACTTCTTATTTGCTTGTACCTCTACCCGAATTTGTTATGTTATTCTAGTGTAGATTCTTGTTAAATTTTGTCACAAAAGGTCCACACCGTTTGACTAAAAGAGTATGTAAACTGTCAACTCGTTTTCAGATTAGAGCCCCGTGAGCTCACCTACTCATACTTAGGAGAAAAAAATATCAACAGTTAAGCCAATCGCATTTCCAGATGTATGGGCTATCTGCTCATATTTTTGCTAAGGTCTTAAAACAAAATTGAAATGGCTTATACTCGAAGCGCTTACTTGAAAGTAAACCTTTAAATGTATTTCGCAAATATTGAAAAAAAAAATAGCCAACGGCGTATTTACGCCCCGGGCGGATATTCTGATGATCTGACACTGCAACAATTTTCGAAGTCAATCGAACCTGTGGAAAACGAGTTAAGAGTCATAATCGCAAATCACCTCACTAGATCCCGGGGTGGAACGCGTGTCAATAATTTAACATAACATCGCCTAGTGTGCTCATAATATGCCGATTCATTTAGTTATATTGTCCACTGCACACTACGAAAATGTAAAACGTCTCACATCTCACATAGCAATTGCGGAAATATAGCTCTTATTCCTACATGTTTTACATCAATTTAAATTGAATTTCCTATGAAATCAATGTTACGTTTGAGTCTTTATCGTTACAGTGTCAGAGCATTGTGTTGGAACAATGCTCGCCCACACGCTGGGCTCAGTAGTGGTCCTGTAGCACCGATGTTAAGGGTTGAAAATAATTGAGCAGTGAAATCGAATATATTCCTCTAACAAGTCACCGTGATTACAATTTTGCTTTGTTTACAATTTTATTTTTAGATCGTGTTTTTTGATTAATGTTGATGAACAGAAAAGCTCACAGTCCGTGCGCATATATTTCTACTCTAATGCTAAAACTCACTTTGAAAATGTGCTTTAAATGTCATTAAATATGGAATACGTCATTGCTTTGAGCGTAGAAACAGATTGACTGGATGTTTGTATTCACAATACGCTCTTTCATCAATAAAATACTAGTGGTCCTGCCGTAGTCGAAATGCTTTTTTTATGATTGAAGGATTACTGGTTGCCCGGAGGCCTTTCCAGTTTCATCAGGACGGGTGGGCGCGAGCAAAGGCTCAGCCAGGAGGGGTGGGATGTCCTAACAGCGTCCCGAGCGCCTCCGAAGGAGACCTAACAACTCAAGAGCAACTGCTTCGCGAATGAATCTACTATCGGATGGGAATCGCAACCCGCTGAGAAGATGCGGCGAGAAACTCAGCGGGTTGATTCATGGGTTAGGTTGCACGTTGACCTCTTTGTCAAGTTCGACGAGTACGGTTACCGGGGTCCCTACTCTTAGTATTAGAGCTGAAGGTATCTAATGCAAAGGTTATTGGATCTGATGGATTCGTCAGGACGTGTGTCTTAAATTTATTGAAAGATATCTAATTGTGTTGTATGAAAGTTGAGGCGGAGGCATACATCCCCGAAAGCTCATCCATATCCGTGCAGCCTTTGATTGCAAGATTGAGCAATTCGCGAAGCAATTGCTCTTGAGTTGTTAGGTCTCCTTCGGAGGCACTCGGGCAGTTGTTAGCAAATCCCACCTCTCCTGGCTGAGCCTTTGCTTTTTCATACGAACGGTACTATATTGTACCGATTTTAAATAAATACATTATTTTTTTTTATCTCAGTCGTTGACGTGAAAGTTTAATTTCGACAAATCGGTGTTAAATTTTGCATGCGACGCAGCAGTTGATAGACTTAATGATCTCGCAATTCAGTGTTGATAGTTTCACTTTTGCGTGCTCTTCTTACGAAAATTGCGTGCACGGAGGAGTATGAAATTTCCCATACTTATAGAGAATATACAGACGGAGTGCAGAATGTTATTTTTTTTTTTAAATTATTAATTAAAAAAAATTCACTCAATAAGAAATAAACATTACACACACTACCATGTATTTGACACACTCATGCATACTATTTCTTTATTGTCAAACTTTTCTTATTGCTTATAATCTGTGGTCAAATTAAGAATAAATTAAATATTGTTTGTCTTTATATTTGTCTAAAGTGTAGTTTTGGCGAAATCTGCCTTTTAGAAGTAGGTATAGTAAATAGTCCTTGACAATAGAACTATAATAATGTATTCTATTATGTACTATGTATAATAATTTCAATTAATTATTTTTGAATTTTGACTAACGAGGGCCACTAGTAGATTTAAATAATCATTGCATTGTATCTATTGTGTTGAATAATTCAGGCTTGAAGTATCTTACTGATATACGTCTTTTTGCAAATACTTATGACTGCTTCTTACCACGGTTTTCAAATGAGTTCAGTTACCGATATGTTAGTGCTGTTGCAAGCACCCTGATCACAAGTACAGTGTCTACACGATGCGAGTAGGATCATGGAACAAGACAAATTTCATTCTATCCTATCTGAAGCTCTTTAAGGCAAGGTACAGTGTCTCCTTCATAGACACAATCTAATAAGTTTCTCGCCGGATTTTCTCAGTGGGTCGCGATTCCGATCCGGTGGTAGATTCAGCGAAGCACAGCTCTAGCTGAGGCCAGTGTTAGCAATTCTCTCAGGTCGGGCCTGTGATTTCACCTACCATTCCGCCTATAGTTGGAATATCCTTTCATCTACCACCGATTAAGAAGGGTGCAGTGCGGCTTGTGTTTCAAAAAAAATACGTATTTTGCACGAACGCTTACCATGCCAAAAAAGGCGGGTGCTAAGAGCGAAAGAGGCCTTTTCTAGAATTTCGCGTAATTTTTGTTGTATAATTCTTTTGGTATATCCTTTAGGTTAATTAAAAATCAATTAGTAAATTAATTAATAATTTAAATTCATAATGATTAAAAATAATAATAAATAATTAATTAAGCGGACAGCCTCTGTGTAGTCACCGAGCGATTTATGTAGTTGAAAAACTAAAAAAAGTTCACTTAAATAGCCTATTGAAATTACTTTTTTTTATCCCTGACACTGACCCTGGTTGATACTGGTCAGCATCTAAGAGATAAGTTAAAACTATTGTATAGTCATCGGTTCTTGATGTGTGTGTAAATGTAAGTTGTTGTTGTTGTTGTAGTCGTTGTAGTCCTAGGGTACCCCGCTGGTACATAGGGCCCTCACAAATTGTCTCCACTTTACCCTGTCTTGCGCTTGCTCCTTGACATCACTCCAGGTCACGTTGGCAGTCCTCATCTCACTCTCTACGGTGTGTCGCCAAGTGTGTACAGGGCGACCAGGTCTTCCCCTGCCAAGCGGTTGCCACTCAAACACGATTGATGCTGCGTTGACTCCGCTGCGCCGTAGAGTGTGTCCTATCCAATGCCATTTCCGATGAGCAATGTCTTGCGCGATGGGATTTTGGTCACATTTAGTCCAAAGGTCTTTATTAGAGATAGTGACTGGCCAGAATACGCGGAGTATCAACCTCAAGCACTTATTTACAAATACCTGCAGTCGGTTCGTGAGTGTCTTGGTCACTCTCCAGGTCTCACATCCGAACAGGAGAACACTCTTGACAATGGAGTCGAACAGGGTCAGCTTGATCCGACGAGTCATGACACTTGACTCCCAGACTGGTTTCAACTGCGCGAAAGCACCCCTGGCTTTCCTAATTCGTATCTCTATATCTTCGTCCGAACCATCCTGATTTGATATGGAAAATGTAAATGTAAGTACCTAAATGTAATGTAATATATTAACCGTAAACACAAAGCTAACAAAAGCGTATAAAAAAATATATCGGGATTCTTGTAAATAAAAACTATTGCGTGATAGCACTTCGTATTTTAGTGCTGGCATTAAAAATGTTTTGCGCTGGAACATCAATGAGTAAATTCAAAAAAAAAAAAAAACAAAGGTCTAAAGGTCTAGGACGGAATATAACGTTTACAATTGACCTTTAGAGAACGCGCAAATGCTAAATGCATTTTTTAATATTAACTGAAAGGTAAAATATAGGTGATTTAAGCATAGTTACTCTGTTTCATTGCTAGTCGATGAAGCCTTTATTTTTAACGAGGATTTTAATAAATGGATTGCAGTAAATGAGTTTATAGCCCACTTGGCGCTATGTGTAGCCTATAAACACTGCCAAGGGGATACCGTTCATTATATTATTATAAGGTGTGGAGGTCTCCATTATATTGCATAACAGCAGTCTTAGTTTTCAAACCAATACAGAAACACATTTTGACAGACATAGATTGTATTATTAGGTTTTTCTTTTTTATTGCTTAGATGGGTGGACGAGCTCGCAGCCCACCTGGTGTTAAGTGGTTACTAGAGCCCATAGACATCTACAACGTAAATGCGCCACCCACCTTGAGATATAAGTTCTAAGGTCTCAGTATAGTTACAACGGCTGCCCCACCCTTCAAGCCGAAACGCATTACTGCTTCACGGCAGAAATAGGTAGGGCGATGGTACCTACCCGTGCGGACTCAAGAGGTCCTACCACCAGTAAATTTCGGTTGGTTCGGGGAAAAATAGACAGCATAATATTCTGAATTTTTAAATTAAGTTTTAAGTAAGTTATCTCATTTTTGTTTTCTCTTTGAAGATATTATACTTTGGTAACGAGACCTTTAAGCTAAGTCTTATTATATAATTTCTTTACTTTTTCGGTTATAATATGAAAAATAATAAGAAGCGAAATGTGATAAAGTTGATTAATTTGAGACTTCAATCAATTGGGGTGAGATTAAATATAGCAAGATGAGATGGAATAAAATAAGATCTTATTTAAACGGTGGCTATTTACTAAGATCTTTTCAGTGGACTTTTTAGAAGCTTTAGTAGCTTTGGAGAGGCTACGTCCAGCGGCTTTGTTTCATTTTCTCACATTTGTGCACTTTTACAAATACTAAACAGTTGATAAATCCCCGTTATCACACATTTAAATCTAAAGAAACATTAAATAAACAAAAATAACAGTTAACAATTCCCACAAAAGTTGTGTGTGCTCCTCGCGTTCTGCCAAAAACCCATAAATTTCGTACTTTAAAAACAGAAGATTGATATGCTTTCAATTTAAATTCGACAACATCAAAAAAAACCTAATTAAAATATACAAGAGATGATTGACATTTAAAATATAACTTACGCAAATTTTAAAGACTGTTCTAGAAACTAGGACTATCCAGGGTATTCCCGATTGAGTCTTGAGCTCACACACTTGTCCCGGATAAACGGCAAGGCCTCCGGGTGAACAACGTTACTTACACTAGAAAAAAACTACACGTAAATAAAAAAGAGTTAGTCTTTTTACCCTCAACGAATCTTCTTTACCCACGGTTTTGAAGGGATGCTGATAAAAAAGGCACTTAGTAGGGGCGATGTTCTTCATTTTAAATTCATGTTTTATTAAATTATATCAATTTAATTCGGCTCGTAGTTGACTTTGTTACAGTATGTTCATATTGGTGTTTTACATTTTATTGCCTATATGTATATTATGCTTATAGAAACTATGAAACAATCATGTACATTGTGACCGCTCTATTGAGTAAGTATAGCTTAAAAAAAAACTTAAGAGACACTTGAATAACACCCTAGACTGAAAATTAAAAGGCTTAGAAAAGGTTTTCTTATGGTTTTGCGAGTTTTAGACACAGTATCAACTATGATACGAAATACCATTTAAGTCCTAATTTTGTATTGTTATTATTACGAATACTATAAATTTTTTATGATCACGGACGTTAAGGCAATGTACGTCGGCATTTCAATATAATGCTTACTACCGTCCATCTTTCTATAAAATAACTTTTGCTTTTCATTTCACACAGAACGAACTAATAGTATATTGAGGTCTGGTAGCTAATTATAACTTAAGATATGATGACTTAATATCATTAATGACGCAAGATAAAAATCATAGAAATATTTTTAAAATAAGAAAATTGAATGATTTTTATACTAAAAGTTAGTGAAAGTTATATTTCAAAATAATTACGCTAAATAATATTAAGATAAATTGTATAAAGTTAAAACAAAACGAAGTCACTGTAGTTCTTGCACTGTGGCCTTGTAGAACAGTAATCTTCGTTTTGTTAAGCAATCTCATAAAAACGCCCTAACAATAAAACCTACAATGACAATAATTCTGACATAAAAAAAACTTCGATAATTTTTCAATGGAATTTAACCCTTATAGCTTAGATCATAAATCTGGTATTGCATCCGGTAAGTGCTAAATTAATAAAAAAAAATACTTTGGTTATTAATGCATTTCCTGCTATCTAAATTTATACAATGTTAACCTAGTTAAATGGGAGCTGTGTTAGAGAAAAATCTTAAGTGACAAATTTTAATGGTCGCGTTAAGTAGGTAAACAGATAGTTACGTATAATGAAGGAATAACTTATTGTAATATAGTTTTGTGGGTAGCGACTTGGCTCTGTCCCTGGCATTGCTGATGCCCATAGGCGACGGTAACCACTCACTATCAGGTGATACAGGTGATGCAAGGGCAATTTAGTAACACCTCGCTGAATCTATCATGAGATAGTAATCAGGACCCGCTAAGAAGATCCGGCGAGAAACTCGGTGGATTATGTCTGCGGGTTATGTTATACGTTGAACTCATCGTCGCATTTAGCTGGTTTGACAAGAACGGTAGCACTCAAGATCCTTCTAGGCATTCCAAACACCGAAATGTCTAAAAGCATCAAGAATGGATCGGGTAATTAGCTTAGGAACCTTAACTAGTAGGTGAGCTCACGGGGCTCAAACCTGACGACGTTGCTAACACGAACCCTAGCAAGAGCCGTGCTTCGCAGAATTTACCACCGGATCGGAAACGCGACCCACCGAGAAGATCCGGCGAGAAACTCAGTGGGCTGTGTCTGTGGGTTAATTTACTCGTCAAGCCCTTCGTCGCAAGCGACGGGTTCGACGAGAACGGTGACCGGTGCTTGAGGTACCTAAAAGCACCGTTAGTGGATCGGGAGAATCCGAAATGACGTGTTTTGGGCGACGTCGACTGCTTTCCATTCTTTCCGCAGGATCGGGAATGGCAAATTAGCTGATAGCTTACCAGAACTATTAAATTTCATTAAACAATTGAATACAAAAAACATTAAATCACCTCAAGCTTAACCAATCGCATCTCATAATGTGTACGTACAAAAATATGACATGTCGTTTATTTGGCGTCGCTGACGTCACTCGTAGTGTTGCGTTGAGCCGTGTGTCTTAAAGTTCACGGTAATTTTAAAATATAATAGCTTTCTGCTTCCCTATTGTCTTTAGAACACCTTTCGCAATCGTAACCGCTAAAACATTGAAAAAATACGTACTGGAATGTATAGTTGACATTTCTGTCTTGGCACGTGTAAGCTTGCATCTGCTAACCGTCTTGCAATTACTAGAATTTATTTACTGCCCACTTATAATGACTAATATCTAGTTAAACTTTAAAGGTAGGCCTAATTTGTAAGCTTGGTAGGTATAATTGTTTTTTCCAATAGTAATTTTGCATGGACCACATTAATACCTCTGATTGTATTATTTAAAGTATATCTCACTCACCAAAACCGATGCAAATCTATTTCGGGGCGTGAATACACATTAAAATTATATCGCTGTTTTTAAACAGATATTTTCGTCATTTTATAAGATTTTTGTAATCTAATATAGAACCAGGCCGACAGACAGAACCGACCCTAGGTGACTGGGAGAAGGGCAGGCAAATGATGATGAAAATCCTCCCTATTTCTGTAGCGAAGCAGTCATACAATCCGGAGTGGGGCAGCCGTTATTCAATTGAGACTTCATGTTTTAAGGCAAGTGAGATTATAATTGGGCTCCAGTTATTATCAACTTGATCAACCGGCAAAAATAGGGTTTCTGGTACCCACTTGTTACAAGACGCTCTACCATCAATAAGACTCTTTCTTTACATGTAACCCAAAGCCGGCACTTGAGCTATTTATTTATTTATTGCTGAGATGGGTGGACGAGCTCACAGACCACCTGGTGTTAAATGGTTACTGGAGCCCATACGCATCTACAACGCAAATGCGCCACCCAACTTGAGATATAAGTTCTAAAGTCTCAAGTATAGTTACAACGGCTGCCTCACCCTTCAAACCGAAACGCATTACTGTTTCACGGCATAAATAGGCAGGGTAGTGGTAGCTACTCGTGCGGACTCACAAGAGGTCCTAGCACCAGTGCACTAAAACTAAACTAAACTAAAAGTATGCATTGACTAGGCATGTCTAGTTGGCGGCAACTTTCAATATACAATCGGCTAGCGCTACACCCGTCAACACACACGAACTAGCGTTATTTCGAGTTTTACCTTTGCAAATTATTCCCACTTGATCGCATCGTAAATTCCCATACCGGCGGCGCATTGTTGACGAAATAAATCAACATTTAAATCGAAGGAAAAAAAAGAAACTAGTTTCAGGGACAAAAAAAAACGAAAGAAGGGCAAGCGTATGTCTTCGTACGATTTTCGCACGCGGAAGTTCCCGTTCGAATAAGCTTTGAGACAACAATGACTTACAAAAGCGCGTTTGACAATGGAAGCAGGAATCAGAGCAGCTCATTGTTGGCCCGGCAGCTGAGCGGAGAGATCTTTCTTAATTCTACAATATGCAATTCGGAAGGACGCGTAACCGTTTTGAACGGACTAAGGTATTGCGATCCGATTTTTTGATGGAGCT